GCAATCGAAAACAAAACAATGTAAAACTTTAGAGCCTAAAGTCCACTCAGTCCTACTTCTTATTCAGCCAATCGGTAAGACAAACAAGTTTGTTTACATTTACAGGAGATAATGCTGCCTGCTTCTTATTTACAATGTCACTTGAAAGTGAGAACAGGCGTTTGCAGGGCACTTTTGTAGCCAGCATTGCAAGGAGGTTACATGCCAGATATGCTAAACATTTCTATGTCCCTTCATGCTTCGGGCACCATTCCAGAGGACATGCTTCCATGCTGATGATGCTTGTTAAAAAAAAAATACATTAATTAAATTTGTGAGTGAACTCCTTGTCTCCTGTTCTGCTTTACCCTCATTCTGCCATATATTTCATGTGTTAGCAGTCTCGAATGATGACTCAGCACCTGTTGGTTTAAGAACACTTTCACAGCAGATTTTCAAAACGCAAAGAAGATACCAATGTGAGATTTCAAAAGACAGCTACAGCATTCCACCCGAGGTTTAAGAATCTGAAGTGCCTTCCAAAATCTGAGAGGGACAAGGTGTGGAGCATGCTTTCAGAAGTCTAAAAAGAGCAACACTCCGATGCAGAAACTACAGAACCCAAACCACCAAAAAAGAAAATCAACCTTCTGCTGGTGGCATCTGACTCAGATGATGAAAATGAGCATGCGTCCGTCCGCTCTGCTTTGGATCATTATCGAGCAGAACTCATCATCAGCTTGGACGCATGTCCTCTGGAATGGTGGTTGAAGCATGAAGGGACATATGAATCTTTAGTGCATCTGGCACATAAATATCTTGCGATGCTGGCTACAACAGTGCCATGCAAACGCCTGTTCTCACTTTCAGGTGACATTGTAAACAAGAAGTGGGCAGCATTATCTCCTGCAAATTGTAACCAAATTTGTTTGTCTAAGGGCTGGTCTATACTTAGCTGCTAGTTCGGCGGCTGGAAATCGAACTTCCTGGTTCGATTTATCGCGTCTGGTCTGGACGCGATAAATCGAACCAGGAAGTGCTTGCCGTCGACTGCGGTACTCCATCAACGAGAGGAGTACCGCGGAGTCGACGGGGGAGCCTGCCTGCCCTGTGTGGACCGCGTCTGAACCGCGGTAAGTTCGAAGTAAGGTATGTCGACTTCAGCTACGTTATTCACGTAGCTGAAGTTGCGTACCTTACTTCGACTTGGGGGGTTAGTGTAGACCAGGCCTAAGTGATTGGCTGAAGTAGGACTGAGTGGACTTGTAGGCTTTAAAGTTTTACATTGTTTTATTTTTGAGTGCAGTTAGTTTTTTGTACATAATTCTACATTTGTAAGTTAAACTTTCATGATAAAGAGACTGCACTACAGTACTTGTATTAGGTGAATTGAAAAATACTATTTATTTTGTTTTTTACAGTGCAAATATTTGTAATCAAACATAAATATAAAGTGAGCATTCACAATGATTATGCCATAAATCATAATCAGATCTCCATTTCAATGACTATTAAAGAAATATAACCACTGAATAAACTGTAAAAGATTAAACTGGAGTAGCAGCACCACCGCTCTTTGAAAGGGTACAGTATGCACTTCCCTCCCTCTCCAGCTCAGTTCTGTTCTCTGGTATAGCGAGTGCAGTCCACACACCTTTGAGATATCAAGCTTTGTCAAAGGCACCAGCCTGGAAGGGTTCTTGCACTTGCTGGTGATATTCATCCCAGAGCACAGGGTACCAGTTAATCTCTTGTGGCCACATCCAGGCCCTATTGAAGTCAATGGGATTTTTGCCATTGACTTCCTTAGGATCAGAATTGCCCCTTAAATAGAGCATAAGATTTTGTATGAGTGCTCTGCTTTGGGATGAATTTTGCCCTAGGGGAGAAAGGGCTTCAAGGGCTGGTTCCTGTACAAGGAGAGAAGGAGGGTGCAGAAGACTACTTATATGCTTCACCATCCTTTGTACACCATCATGTAAGTAGCCACAATCTGCCTTTTAAAGTATATTTCAAACATTGCAGTATGGTGCAGCCTTTTATAGACTTTTTTCTCAATGTCTGAGTACCTTTTGATGTTTTGCTTTTTAAAATAAGCTTGCTGTGATTGCATTTACTTAATCATTGAGGCTGAAATTCACTTAAGTGCAGAGGTTTTAATTGGTGAATATGGCCTTGGTCATCTCTGAATTGAAGTAAATTTCACCAAGAATTTGCAGACTGAGAAGATCTGCAAGTAGTATTGCTTTATCTTGCCAACACTAAACTCATTTTAAGTTCACCTATGGCTTTCTGAAATATCTTTATTTAAATAAAATCATGATATGATATAGGCATCACAGATGTGGAAACATCACCCTTCTAAAATAAAAGGTTCCTGAAAGACAGCTAATCCTGTTTGTATCAGAAGAAGTCTTTGAGACACTAACACAAGGAAGGATAAATGTGCTGCATTTCTGAGATCTACAAGGCCAGAGGTCTTACAGTTCTCAAAGCTGTTAAAAGTCATTCTTCTCTGGGTGTTGCAATTTCTCGGGCTGAATACAAAGCATCTTTGTATGTTAAAATCTGCAGAGCAGCTATTTTCATGAACATTTACAGACTGTGGTGCATAGCTGGATATTCAGGCTTTTTCAAGAATACTGTTGCAGTTAGTGGTTATATTGAGCTTTCCCTGCATATGTTTTTTTGGCATTCCTAAGCAGTCCTGATTTTTCTGTATTGGAGAACATAGCAATTAGAGATGCATAATTCCCTTCTTTCAGATGAGGTCAGCCCCTAACTGTACTAATAACGTGTCCCTGTTCAGTTGTGGCAATTGTCTTGTATGTTTAAATTAAAGATTTTATTTACAGTTCTTAAATTCCTTTTCTAAATTTGGGAGTAAATGCATAAAAAGAACTAATAGCATTATCCCTGAATGGGGGATAGATCCCAGTTCTGCAAATCCTTACATATAGTCCTTACTCATATGCGCAGTCTTATTTGAAAGCTTGTTGGACTACTCACCTCAATAGGAATTTGAAGTATTGGCTCATGGTTTTGTATGCAGCTTTCCCTACATACATCCGCCAATGCATCTTGGTCCTAATATGCAAAACCCTATGTTATTCTAGTCATATACCTATCGGGAGCAGACACATGTTTTGATAATTTTGCTAGGTTGTGCACAAATGAAGACACATCTGAAGAAGTGGGTTTTTTACCCATTAAAGCTTATGCCCAAATAAATCTGTTAGTCTTTAAGGTGCCACCGGACTCCTTGTTGTTTTTGTGGATACAGACTAACACAGCTACCCCCTGATAAATGAAGACCAGGATGAAAACATCAAACTTATTTGTATTTGTGCCCTTAAATCAATCTTTGAATTATCTTCCTTAGAAATTAAAGACTAATGTACCAACTCAGTGTGCCATCTATCCTCAATACTTTGGCTTAAGTTTTAAGAGATTAAAAAAAAAATAGGCCAGAGGAGTCCTGTTTCCACAAACAGTTCTTGTAAGTGATTGTTGTGGTGTATTCTGAAAAATACTTTCACTGTGAAGAGTTACAATTTCTCATTCCTTCACCAAGGCTAGATAGCAACTAGCAACAAGAGACAGCTATTTTAAACATAAGAATGTCTGTGGTTATAAATGACGCACACCTCAGCCAATCACTTCTTTCCTTTTCCTGTTTGTGTCTTAGACTAGAACAGTGATACTCAGTGGTTCAGGAGCCAAATTAGAGATCAGCATTACCCAAAAGAGCCAAAGTAATGTGAATTCATTGTTTTCATTTACTATAGTATTCATATTTAAACAGTATGATAGGGGAATATATTATTATCACAGCAAATAAGTTAAATTAATGCAAGTTGATAACTTAATTGGTTAATAACATAGTAAAAGCATCCTGATTGGTTAATAATTTAATTAAATCACACTGTTTTTTAATATCATGTGCTGCAAAGAGCCGCAGGAGACACATTAATGAGCCACTTGCAGCTCATGAGCTGCTGTCTGGGTATCACTGGACTAAAAGTACAAGGTGGTGGCCAACATTTTCAAATTTGGGTGCCTGAAATTAGGCTCCTGAATCCATATTTAAGAATCTAAATAAAAACACCTTGATTTTCAAAGGTACTGAGCAACTCCAAATTCCATTTTCAAAAGTGCTAAAGATGCAAGTGCTCACTGATTTCAAAGGGAGCTGAGTTTGCTCATCACCTTTGAAATTGAGGGCATTTCTAGTTAGGTTCTTAAATACAGATTCACCAGCCAGACTTTAGGCAACCAGGCTTGAAAATGTTGGCCAGTATGTATAAATTATTCCTTTTTTAAAATTATATTGGAAATGTGTCATTTTTGGTGAAAGGGTTGGGCTATAGGTTTTATGTATGCAATCTGGTGCAAACAAATCTAGTACACAACGGCATGAAGGAATAATTGTACTGTAATTTCCCACAGAAATGTATAAACAGTAGTATTCCTTTCAGTGGGCATCAAAGGCCCACTCCTGTGAAAGTGCTATGCAGCACTCTCAACCTCCCACAGACTTGAGGGTGCTGAGCACTTCTGAGATATTCAGGCAACCATCTGATCCTATTCTTGTAGCCTCTTGTTAATTTCTACTGGAGTTGGTGTGGGTTTAGCATTATTATTATGAATAATATTTATTACAGTACTGCCCTTTGATTTCAATGGGGCTACTCATGTTCAAAGTTTAGCACCATGCATATGTGTATGTAAGAGCCCTGATCCATGACTGGGGCTCCTAGATGCTACTGCAATACAAATAATATCAATTAATTAAATGTGTGCAGGACTGGGGCCTAAAGTAGTAAAGGGTGTTGTTTATGAAATCAAGAAAGGAAGTATACTTACTGATCACTTAGTAATAGTCATAAACTTTTGATAGAAATAGATTAGGAGTGGTTTGTACTGCTACGGGTTGAAGAATGCCATTCAACTACTCTGCTGCATCATTGGAGGGTTTTGTTTATATAAATAAACACAAATTGATTGTGTTTCCCTTTTAGATCTTTATTTGGTACACTGGCCCGATGCACAAGTTCCTGGTAAAAGTAATCGTGAGGTCCGAGCGGAAACCTGGAGAGCCATGGAGGACCTATATGAGAAAGGTGGGAGGACTGTAAAAAATCACTGTTTGCAGGAGGGACTGTAACTGATTTAAACTTTCGGGAATCCAATAACATTGTAATAGGGTGGGATTTTTCAAAGGAGCCTGAGAGAGTTAGGTGCCCAAATCCCATTGTCTTTCTATGCGACTTGGGTATGCAACTCACTTGTGCACCTTTAAAATCCCAGCCCTACTCAATATTATCCATGTGACAAGCTAAACAAAAAGAGTTAGCTGCTGCTTGTAAATAACATATTGCCATGTTGTGGTCCTGAAGAAGTAAATGCTGTTATGTATGATTTTTTTAGATTGTCTATAGTCTGTAGATTACAGTACATTTTGTGCTGGGCTGCAGTTGGTATAAATTCAAAGCCTTGCCATCTAATTTAACTTCCCTTTGATTTTTTTTTTAATTGTAAGGTGATATTTCTCCTTTACATAGAGCAGTAAGTAGTTAGTGGATCTTTGTTGTTTGTGGTTTAGAAAAGGTCAACTCAAGCAAGCTGATTAGATGAGGAACAGAAATTGAGCTGTGGGGTTTTTGTTAATTAACCTTGAAAGCATCCCCTTGAAGGAGTTGCAAAGCTAGGGAGAAAATTCCTCTCTCAGATCCTTATGATGACTCTCAACTGTATTATTCTGCATGCACTGATCCCCCATTGACATTTAATGGGAGTTTTTCCAGATCCAGGAAGATTAGAATATTGGTATCAAAATTTGTCATGAATTTAAGAGGAGGATTTTGCCCCTAATGTATGCAGTATTATTATGAGGTTCTCCAGTAATTATATTTTCAAGCAATAGTTGTAGACCTCATTTACAATTCCATGGAAAGTTCCTAAGTATCAAAGTTGGATAACAGGGATGAAAAAGACCTCCAAGCTCATGTAATCCATCTCCTAACCCAGCGTTTCTCAACCAATGGGTCACGACCCCCAGATGGGCTACGAAAGGCAATCAGGGGTTTTGAAGCATTGAAAAATGTATTACAATGTAAAGCAAAGAAATTCTCGCTCACCCATTCCTCATACAACCATATCCTTCAATGTCAAGTATTTTCAGTCAACCTCTTGAAATACAGACACATAATTGTACAGGATTATCATTATTACCACTGATATATTCTTTTTACTCTTATAGCAAATGTAAGGAGATTGTGAATAAGGGGTTGCCAGCCTGTAAAGGTTGATAATACTGCCCTAACATATTCTTAAAGAACTCTACGTGGGTGGAATGTTGTTGGAATGCAGATTTGTGCTGAAGACATACGCTAAATTTAAAATGTAGATGTAATCACATATTTGACACTTTTGATGATTTACATTTGTGTCAACGTAAGGTTCAACTAGTCTAACCCTCTGCCTACCCATTGTCCTACTCATGTTGAGGTTGTGACCCACCACAACTCCCAGATCCTTCTCAGCTGTACTGCTGCAAAGCCAGTTTTCCCCCATTCTGTATTTGTGCATTTGATTTTTCTTCCCTAAGCGCAGCATCTTACTTTTGTCTTTGTTGAATTTCATTTAATAGTTTAGCCCAGTTCTCCAATTTATCAAGATCCCTCTGAATTTTAGCTCTGTTCTCTCTCTCACACACACTCTCTCTCTCTCTCTCTCTCTCAACCTATTCCTGAGCTGGGCCCTCCTTTTTTTTTTTTTTTTTCTTTCTTTTGTTTCGCTCCTCTATGAAAACCTAGCTCCTGCCCCAGGTTTCTCAATTTAGACCAATTGGGCTTTCAGTAACTGATTAACCTCTTCCTGCCTTGCATGGAGGCTTGAGTGCCCCATTATAGTTCCTCTATGGATTTTGTACCCCAGCTTCTTATATCTGAAGTCTCCAACAATATCAGGTAAATGCAATCTAACCCCATCCTCCCTGCTTTATAATTACCTTTACTGTTTTAAAATGTGAGATGGTATCTGATGATAAGCTAATTCCATAGAACTAAACTGATTGCTAGTTAATTCATAATAGAACAGGTGTGAGGAGTCTGGGCTTACCAGTGGTGCCACCTAATGGTTAGGTCACTGGCTCCCAGCTCTCCCCCATCTTCAGTGTCCCCTACCAGCAATCACTCCTTCTCTGTGGCATTTGGTAGGTAGCAACTCAGCCCTCTGGCCAGGTCACCAGTCGAGTCCGCCCCCTTACGGGGTAACAGAGTCCAACAAAATAAAGCGTCTTCAGCCCACCTCCAGGTTCCTGTGGATTGTATGCCCTTGCCTTAGGATTTACAATGTCTCTATCCCCCCCTTATCTCCAGGGAGGGTGGAAGAAGGGGTTCTTCTTCGAGTGATTGCTCATGTGTATTCCACAATAGGTGTGCATGCTCGCCACGTGCACTGGTGCCGGAAGTTTTTCCCCTAGCAGTACCTGTAGAGGGGAGCGCCCCCCGCAATCCCTGGAGTGGCGCCTGCCTGGCGCGGTATAAGGGGAGCTGCGTGTTCCCCCCACCCTCAGTTCCTTCTTGCCGCCAGTGAAGGTGCGTCGGAACTGCTCTGCTCCTGCTTTGCTGTAGCTTGTCCCCAGAACTGTTCGTTCAACATTAGTATCTGTAGTTAGCTGTTTAGTTAATTTAATTCGTCAGTAAGCCCGGGCCAGGGCATGCCCTGTGCCCCGGGGTTTAAGTCGTGCAGCTCTTGCAGGCATTCTATGCCAAGGAGCAACCCGCATGCAGGCTGTTTGCGCTGCTTGGGAGAAACCCATATCAGCGAAAGGTGCAAGATTTGCAAGTCGTTTAAGCCTCGGACCAAAAGAGAAAGGGACATTAGGCTCCGGGCCATCCTAATGGAGTCGGCGCTAACCCCAACCCCGGCACGCCGCTCCGAACCAGTACCCAGCACTGCGGCGTTGGTACGCGGCGACCCTCTGGTACCATCGACCAGTCGGCACCGCTCCCTGTCCATGGGGCACACCAAGAGGGCCAAGAAGACTCCCTCCTCGCAGCAGCACCGAGGGAAATCTGGGACAGAGACTAGGCCCATGTCGGGCAGTCCTTGATTCCCTCCGTGCCCTAGGCCTCCGACTCAAGCTGAGCGGAGTAGCCCAGCCCCTTCGGAACAGGCCTCTCCAGATGTCCGGATGCCTTCCATGCCTGAAGCCCGCCAGGCGGCCCGGGACGTCATGTCCATGCTGGTGCCTGGAGCACCCCCGATGTCGGCCCCGCGCTCCAGAGGCAAGCCGCTGCTGGGATCCCCGCAGCCGCCTCCGGCCCTGTACCGGTCTCGGTTGAGGGAATGTTCCCAATGCCGATCACCGCCCAGCGACTGCTCGGGGCAGAGTCCAGGTGGATCACCCTCAACGCCAACCAGACTGTCTGGCTGGGTTCCATCCATCCGGGACTCTCGGCACCGCTAGTCCTCAAGGAGCGAATATTGACGGGACCGTGGCAGGCGTCGCCGTCGGTCCCCATCTCGGAGAGGGTACCACAGTCGGTCACGACACGATCGTCGACTCAATTCCCACTCGGCCTCCCACTCCAAGTCTCCACCAAGACATCGCAGCCCCGGGCGTCGATCGCCGGCATCTCGCCGTCGTGGTTCCGCCCGTCGAGGCAGTTCGCGGAGCAGCTATTACCGTCGGTACCAGTCCTCCACGTCGAGATTGCGGTCCCATGGCCGTCATAGGTCCTGGCACCGCCTTTCCTCGCGGTCCAGGGACACCAGCGGATCTTACGCCAGCCCAGTCTCCATCCATAGCCGTCCCTCGATGGGCCAGGCCGGCCAACCCGGACAGTTGGTCCTGCCAGTGCCACAGCAGGTGCAGTGGCACCGAGCATCGTGGCTGGCCGAATGGTACGAGTCGGCACCGTGGCCTAAGCCTGGAGCGTGATAGGAAGGCGTTTAAGGCGCTAGTGGAGAAAGGGACAGCAGCTGCTAGGGCATCCCTGCAGGCAGCTTCGGAAGCTGCGGACACGGCAGCACGATCAATGGCCTCCGCGGTATCCATGAGATGGGCGTCGTGGCTCCTACTCTCTGGGCTGTCCAGTGAAGCGGAGTCTTCCATGCAGGATCTCCCGTTTGATGGGAAAGCTCTGTTTGCAGAGGAAACAGATACAAGGCTGCATGGTATGAAAGATTCCAGCACTACCCTCCAGACTCTGGGCCTCTGTCCTGGCTCCAGCAAAACCTAATTTCAAGCCGCGGCAGACTCCCGCCCAGGCCGCCCTCCTGAAGTACGAGGCCTCCCATAAGAAGCAGCGGGACTATAAGAGATGCCCTCATAGGCAGTTTCAGCCTGCCCCTCAGCCTGGGTCCTCCAAGGGAAAGCAGGGGGGGAAAAGGCGTTTTTGACGGGACGCTTGGGGTCACCGCGCCAGTCTTCATCAGGGATCCATCCCCAATAAAGCTTCCCTTCTCCAACCGGTTGTGTGCTTTCCTCCCAGAATGGTCACGGCTAACCTCGGACTGATGGGTCCTCAACACCATTTCCCGGGGTTACACCCTCCAGTTTACTTCCTTCCCGCCCAGCCACTCTCCGCCCCCGTTCTTCTTGGGGGACCTCTCGCACGAAGCTCTGCTCGAGCTGGAGGTGGGGCGGCTCCTAGGACGAGGAGCGATAGAGGCGGTGCCCGAGGAGTTCATGGGCAAGGGGTATTACTCCCGTTATTTCCTTATCCCGAAGGCTAAAGGGGGGCTCAGGCCCATCCTGGACCTCCGAGGTCTGAACCAGTACATGGTGAAGCTCAAGTTCTGCATGGTCTCCCTGGTCTCCATCATCCCCTCCCTGGATCTACAGGACACGTACTTCCACATCCACATATTCAAGGGACACAGACGCTTCCTCCATTTCGTGGTGGGACAGAATCATTACCAATTCACGGTCCTTCCATTTGGTCTGTCCTCTGCCCCCAGGGTGTTTACAAAATGCATGTCGGTGGTAGCAGCCTACCTCAGACGGCGGGGGGTCCAGATATTCCCCTATCTGGATGATTGGCTTATCAAGGGCACCTCCCGGTCGCAGGTGAGGGATCACGTGGCACTCCTCCTGTCCATGTGCACTGCC